TCTCTCTCTCTCTCTCTCTCTCTCTCTCACACACACACACTCACTCACTCACTCACTCACTCACTCACTCACTCACACACTCACACACTCACACACACACACACACACACACACACACACACACACACACACACACACACACACACACACACACACACACACAAACAAACAAACACGTAGACAAACATACATAGACTAAATAAACAAAGAAACAAACAAACACGCATAACCCCATTTTTTAAATGATTATTTTCGGTTCTCATTAAAGCAACACATTCCTTAGTTTTTTTTTTTCTTTTCTTTTTTACTGTGTGTCTAATTCGGCAGTTTAGGCCTTCCCACTTTTGCGCCTTCAGAAGGAAAATGTTTTAAAACGTTTTTTTTCTGTATTATCTCTCTGTCTCTCTCTCTTTGTATGTGTCTGTCTGTCTGCCTGTCTGTCTGTCTGTCTGTCTGTCTGTCTGTCTGTCTGTCTGTCTGTCTCTCTCTCTCTCTCTCTCTCTCTCTCTCTCTCTCTCTCTCTCTCTCTCTCTCTCTCTCTCTCTCTCTCTGTCTATATATATATATATATATATATATATATATATATATTCATATATATATACATGTATATACATACATACATACATATATGTGTGTGTGTGTGTGTGTGTGTGTGTGTGTGTGTGTGTGTGTGTGTGTGTGTGTGTGTGTGTGTGTGTGTGTGTGTGTGTGTGAATGTATGTGACCATGTATTTATATACACATACACACGCACACATTTTTACCTCTACATCTTCCTTTCTCTCTTCGCTGCTCTGTTAATTCCTCTGTGCTTGCCAACCTTTTCCTCCCAAGATCACGCACGCTTTCTCGAAGTGAAATCAAGCGAGCCACAAGCACAGGTACAAACCACATGTCTACGGGCGTGAGGATTTTTCCAGAGAAAGTTTAAGCGAAATATCTGTCCATCTTGGGTTCGATATATATATATTTTTTTATTTTCAGCTGATTAGATTTTCTATGATTACGTAATTATTGAGCACACACACGTACACAGTCACAGGAATACGGACACGCACGCACGGACGCACGCACGCACTAAACACATACATACATACATACATACATACATACATACATACATACATACATACATACATACATACATACATACATACATACATACATACATACATACATACATACATATATGTGTGTGTGTGTGTGTGTGTTGTGTGTGTGTGTGTTGTGTGTGTGTGTGTGAATGTATGTGAACATGTATTTATATACACATACACACGCACACATGTATACCTCTGCATCTTCCTTTCTCTCTTCGCTGCTCTGTTAATTCCTCTGTGCTTGCCAACCTTTTCCTCCCAAGATCACGCACGCTTTCTCGAAGTGAAATCAAGCGAGCCACAAGCACAGGCACAAACCACATGTCTACGGGCGTGAGGACTTTTCCAGAGAAAGTTTAAGCGAAATATCTGTCCATCTTGGGTTCGATATATATATTTTTTTATTTTCAGCTGATTAGATTTTCTATGATTACGTAATTACTGAGCACACATACGTACACAGTTACAGGAATACGGACACGCACGCACGGACGCACGCACGCACTTAAACACATACATACATACTGACACGAGCACACGCACATACACACACACACAAAATAATAATAAATAAATAAAAAAACAAGTAAATAAATAACACTTTGATATCAGTTTAAATGCGTGCGTCATTAAGCAAGTGTATTTTTTTTAATTAACTGAAATAGGTCATATCAAATATCTGTACTACACCCGACTACGAAATACATTTACTTTATAAACTGCATAATGTAATAACTATATTTTTTGGTGTATTCCTCAAATTGATTTTACATCAGTATTATCCTAATTCAAAAATTTTCCATTCCTTATCCAGTTATCATTATCATCGACATTTTTTGTTTATGTTATTATTATTATTGTTGTTATTATTATTATAACAATTATTACTGTTAGTATGGTTATTATTATCAATGTTAATATTATTATTATTATTATTACTGTTAGTATGGTTATTATTATCAATGTTAATATTATCATTATTATTATTACTGTTAGTATGGTTATTATTATCGTTGTTATTATTATTATTGTTGTTATAATTATCATCATCATTATCATCACCATCCCCATCAACCTCATCCTCTTCATCATCACAATCATCATCCCCATCATCATCCCCACAATATTTAACCACCTTCACCATCACACCCTATCACTATCCCCATCTAACACCATACATCATTAATTATAACATTATTATTATTATTATTATTATCATTATTGTTGTTGTTATCATTACCATCATCATCATCATTATCATCATCACAATCTTCATCATCATCATCATCATCATCATCACCATCACCATCACCATCATCATCCCCACCAAATATTTAACCACCCTCACCATCACGCCCTATCACTACCCCCATCTAACACCATACATTAACTTCCAGGCGGATCTGTGTCGAATGGCCGGTTATGAAGTCGAGGAGCATCGCGTCGTAACCGAAGATGGTTATATCCTCACTGTGCATCACGTGCCGCCTTTCGCTAACCCCACGAGGGGGGGAGGGTACGTAAATAGGAAATTATTTTGGGGATAATGGAAGGGGTGTGTGTAGTGTATGGGTGTAGTTAGTAATGGCATACACACACGCGCGCGCGCACGCACACGCGCACGCGCACGCACACGCGCACACACACGCGCACGCACACGCGCACGCACACGCACACGCACACGCACACGCACACGCACACGCACACACACACACACACACACACACACACACACACACACACACACACACACACACACACACACACACACGTAATAAATTGACAAATTCAAACCATTCAAAGAAATAATCATAAGATATAATGAAGAAATATAAGAAACTTTCAACAAATTTACATAGACACAATAAAATATATAACAAAAAAATATATATATGACAAACATACATAAAAGTAATATCACTATATTTTCATCTAATAAATGTAAATAAGAGATGGCAGCACAAATAGAGAAATGAAAATAGCCATCTCTCTTATCTCGCGATCTTGTTACCTCAATTTCCTCATATTATCTTATCATGGAAATACAATCAAATAAATACGAATATGTATTACTCGTATTATACCCTATCATCCATTACACACAAAAAATATATTATGATCTTGAAATATGACTCTGCTATAATCGCTCATCAAATATTCTCTTTTATCATACATTAATCATTTTCAAATATTTGTTATTATTAAATATTACTATTAATCATTAAACACCAACATTATTATAAGTTAATACTTTCGTTTCCCCCTTCCCGAAAAAACAACAACAGGCATTCAGAAAGTGATCATTCCCCTCCCGCGACCCCGGTCAAAGACGAAAGAAGATCGAGAAGCGCGGAATCGGCAGGAGAAGGCGGCCATGCGCATGTTGGATCAGGCAATGTTGTATTCCTTCAACATGGCCTCATGGGATCGTCGGATAATTGGAATACGAATACTGAAGAAGATAGTTTAGGTTCGTTGTCTTTATGTGGCTAGTTTGATTTTTTCTCTGAGAGTAATTATATCATATATGGTTATATAGTTCTGTTTTTGTTTTTCAGAGTATTTTCATTTCTGATCTGATTTGTAGGTTTTGTTTGTAGTTTTATTTATTTATTTTTTTCTATATTTAGGTCAGGGCCGATATGAATAATCTCTCTCTCTCTCTCACTCTCAATCTCTCTCTCTCTCTCTCTCTCTCTCTCTCTCTCTCTCTCTCTCTCTCTCTCACTCTCTCTCTCTGTCACTCTCTCTCTCTGTCTCTCTCTCTCTCTCTCTCTCTCTCTCTCTCTCTCTCTCTCTCTCTCTCTCTCTCTCTCTCTCTCTCTCTCTCTCTCTCTCTCTCTGTCACTCTCTCTCTCTGTCACTCTCTCTCTCTGTCTCTCTCTCTCTCTCTCTCTCTCTCTCTCTCTCTCTCTCTCTGTCACTCTCTCTCTCTCTCCTCTCTCTCTATCTATCTTTCTCTGTCTGTCTATCTATCTATCTACCCACCTACTTATTTACTCATTTATTACAGCTGCACCCCCATTCTTAGATCAGTATCTCACAAAAAAAAAGAAAAAAAAAAAATCCCCGAAACGCTTCTTATCAGTTAGTTCACCGTGCACTACTTTTCCCTCCCCCCCAGCTTATCTCCTGTCCAACGCCGGCTTCGACGTGTGGATGGGAAACTTCCGGGGAAACATTTACTCTCGGGGTCACGTCTCCATGACTCATGATAACCCCGAATTCTGGAGGTTCAGGTGAGGATGGGAAGGAGGGAGGGAGGTAGGGTGGGGTGGGGAAGGGAGAGAGGGTAGGGTGGGAGGGGTGGTGGGAGGGAGGAGGGGAAGGTAGGTAGGAAGGGTGGGTGTATGGGTAGGTAGGTGGGGTGGGAGAGAGGGTAGGGTGGGGAAGGGAGTGAGGGAGGTGGGGTGGATGGGTAGGAGGGAGAGAGGAGGGTGGAAGGGAGAGAGGGAGGTGGGGTGGATGGGTAGGAGGGAGGAAGGAAGGGAGGGAGGAAGGGAGAGAGGGAGGAAGGAAGGAAGGGAGGGAGGGAGGGAGGAAGGGAGGGAGGGAGGAAGGAAGGGAAGGAGGGAGGGAGGAGGAAGGCAGGGAGGGAGGCAGGGAGGAAGGCAGGGAGGAAGGGAAGGAGGAAGGGAGGGAGGAAGGAAGGGAGGGAGGGAGGAAGGAAGAGAATGAGGGAGGGAGGAAGGCAGGGAGGGAGGCAGGGAGGAAGGCAGGGAGGAAGGGAAGGAGGAAGGGAGGGAGGAAGGAAGGGAATGAGGGAGGGAGGAAGGCAGGAAGGAAGGCAGGGGGGAAGGGAAGGAGGAAAGGAGGGAAGAAGGAAGGGAATGAGGGAGGAAGGGAGAGAGGAAGGAGGGAAGGAAGGGAGGGATGATCGATGTCATAATGAGGTTTTTAACAGTGACGATACAGTAATTTTTTACATTTCTGATAACTGTAATGCTAGGTTTACTATCATAGTGATGATAATGTCATAATGAAGGTGAGATTAATAATCAATAAGAAAAAAAGTAACAGCTTAAAAAACAGTAACCACAGCATTCATATTTACAATTTGTAGTTTTTGTTTACTTTTAAATGATTCACTTATTATCAACCATGGATTTATTTTTTTTTTAATTATTAATCTGAGCCATATATCACAAATGATTATCTGTTTTATTTCCAACTTGATCGTGTTCAAAGATAAGTGCCAGTGTTATCATTAACCCCCTTAATTAACGTAGATTTAGATTTATGTTTTTTTATTTATTATTATTATTATTATTATTATTCTCTATTTCTGTGAAAAAAGGGGAAATTAGTGTGTTCTTGTTTTGTTAAACAGGTACATGAATTTTCCCGGGTGTGTGTGTGTGTGTGTGTGTGTGTGTGTGTGTGTGTGTGTGTGTGTGTGTGTGTGTGTGTGTGTGTGTGTGTTTTCGTGCATGTGTGCGCGCGACCGTGCGTGTATGCTTATGTTTCCCCCTTTACCTCCTTGGCCATTACCCCCCATATTCCCCCCCTCCCCCCCAACTGCAGCTACGACGAGATGGCCCGCCACGACCTGCCCTCCATGCTGGACTACGTGGCCAACCGCACCCGGGCCGAGAAGATGCACTACGTCGGGCACTCGATGGGCACCACCGTCTTCTTCGCCCTCATGAGCTCCCGGCCGGAGTACCAGAGCAGAGTGAGGTCCATGGTGGCCCTCGCGCCCGTGGCCACCGTCGAGAGCATCACCTCGCCCATCAAGTACCTGGCGCCTATCGTCAGCGAACTCCATGTGAGATGGGCGGCTGTTTGGTGTGATAAAAAGATATACAGATATATAAAAGTGTGTGTGTTTAATATATATGTGTGTATATATATATGTATATATATATATATATATATATATATATATATATATATATATATATATATAATATGTATATATATTATATAAATGCATATATATTATATTGTATATGTGTGTTTATTATATATATGTGTATATGTATGTATATATAATATGTATATATGATATATATTATATATGCAGTATATGTATATATATTATATTGTATATATATTTATATACACACATATATATGTATATATATATTATATGTAAAAGTATATGTGTGTATATATGTGTGTGTGTGTGTGTGTGTGTGTGTGTGTGTGTGTGTGTGTGTGTGTGTGTGTGTGTGTGTGTGTGTGTGTGTATGTGATCATCATCATCAGCCTGAATCAGTCCACTGCAGGACGTAGGCTTCTCCCAGTCTTTTCCAACTTTGTCTTGCATTTTTTGTTTTCAGTCTTGGCCCCCAAATTTCATTATTTCGTCACGCCATCTTGTCATTGGTATGGCCCTTGGCCTCCTTACGTTATCTATAGCCCAGTCTGTTATCCGACATATATGACCTGCCCATTGCCATTTTTTCCTTTTTGATGCTCAAAGGTATAAATTCCACTTTTGTCTATTCCCTGATCCACGTCGCCCTCATCAAATCTCAGGCTAATTCCCAGCATCAACCCCTCTCTCTATATATATATATATTATATATAATATATATATATACATATATATATATATATATATATAGATAGATAGATAGATAGATAGATAGATATACACATATATATAAAGTTGGATATATATATATATATATATATATATATATATATATATATATATATATATATATATAAAGTTGGATAAAGACACAGATAGGTAGATAAATAGAAAGATGTGCACATATCACCCTCCCAACTCACAAAATTTTCTCTAACTCCCTCCTTCTCCTCCTCCTCCTTCACTCCCATGCCAGTTTATGCTCCGCCTCTTCGGTAACGACGAGGAACTCATGACCAACCGCCTCCTGACCTCGCTGTGGGACCCTTACCGCGTGTGCGGCAACCAGGCCATTTGCGAGAATCTGCAGTTCATGATCACGGGATTCGACCCCGACAGAGCGGACAAGGTTGGTGGGTGATGTACATTGTGTGTGTGTGTGTTTGTGTGTGTGTGATATTTGTATATGTATTATATATATAATTTATTTATTTGTTTATTTAATTATTTATACATACATACACACCTACTCTTCCAGAACCTAACCAATCTGTACAATTAGATACACACACACACACACACACACACACACACACACACACACACACACACACACACACACACACACACACATGTATATAAGTGTGTGCATGTGCATGTATGTGTGCGTATATACAAAACTACATGCTATCATTAATTAATTTATTTTCACCACTTTTAAATCCAAACGCCTCAAAAATTTCCATTTACACAACCATCCTCCATTAATGAACAACGCTAAACAGAAACGAGGCAATTAATCAAACCAAACGATAACAAGACAAGATAATTTAATGATTAGGAAAGAAGATATTATCGAGGTTAACGGCCGCTTTTGTGCCGGTCGCTATATCCGACACTGATTAAAAAGTTATGTGTTGACGAATCTTTTTTTTTTCTTCTTCTCTTTTCTATTTTTTTTTCTGTTGATAGAAATACGTGTTGCCATGTTCAGTATCGTTGCAAAGGAATTTGTGGATATTAAGATTATGATCTGTTATTATTATTATATATATATATATATATATATATATATATATATAGATATATATATATTTTTTTTTTTGGGGGGGGCGGGGTAACGCCTGGATTATTGAAATTATAAATGGTTGTTCCTAGTGTTTTTATGTTAAGTGTAGTTGTGAGTTTTTGCTGTATTAATTAAGTCTCCTAGAATCTTATCTGGTATATATATATATAAATAAATATATATATATATATATATGTATATATATATATATATATATATATATATATATATATATATATACACACACACACATGTATATATATATGTGTGTGTGTGTATGTGTGTGTGTGTTTATTTTTTTTGCGTCTGAACTAAATTTATATTTTATGCAAGTCCTTCCACTCATCCTCGGGCTATCCGTTTTCTGTTTTGTTGTGAGTCTTGCAACATAAGTTAAATTTTGTATATTACCACGCAGAGAGTTCTAGCATCGTTATTTTCGTCGTTTTGCCTTAGGAAAGTTTACATTAAATTATATGAACTTGTATTAAAATAACCAAATTGTTGCGATACCAATAAAAATTTACGAGTTTTTTTTATCTACAAAGTTTCACACCAATTAGAAATGAATAGAAATGTATGATAATATGCAATAGTATTATTATAATTTAATTCATTCATGCGCAGATGGAAGATTCAAAGACAACGCCATCAACAGGAGAAAAATCTTGATAAATTTACAATCTGTGTGCTGAGGTTAACAAAGTACGTGAGGGGTTTTTATAAGGGTCATATTACTATTCTGTTGTCATGCAGAATATTTATTTATTTTTATTTGAGATCCAGAAGTAATTGTTTTTTTTTCAGGACATTTGCCATTCGTTAAAAATGGCGCCGGAAAAAAAATGTCGTGGGTAATTATATCACGAGTAAAAATACCTCGGTAAAAAAAGCGGGAAAATTGTTAACTTGATTTTTTTTTTGTAAAAGGAAGCAAAACAGTTACTTAAAAAGAAAGAAAGAAAGAAAGAAAGAAAGAAAGAAAAAATATATAGTAGACTTTAGGTTTGACATATCTGGTATCACAGCATTGAAGAAAATGATTAATTTTTGTTGATGATTAGTAAGGACTTGAAGTTTTTTTTTTTTTTTTTAATTTATTTTTTAATCAAACTTCGTAAGACAGTTGACTTACGGTTAGTGCTGTTACATCACACACACACACACACACACACACACACACACACACACACACACACACACACACACACACACACACACACACACACACACACACACACACACATACACACACACACACACACACACACACGCACGCATGCACATACATATAGGCAATAATTAAACTATAATAATGACATTAATGCCACGTATGATAAATGATCAATATGAATAGCGATAGCAACATTGTTGACTTGATATGATCTGCAATGATAAGATAAAAGGTACTTATCTTATCAGCCTAGTGAAGATAGTAGTTGCAATGCGTTTCAAGATAACATTTTTAATTCTTATTATTATTTACGTAAACCTAACCTTTAACCCAGCGTTTTTCCCCCCCGACAGAAAATGGTCCCCGTTATCCTTTCGCATAACCCCGCGGGCGCTTCGACTCAAACTCTGTTCCATTTTGTACAGGGATTTAATTCGGGTAAGTAAGAATCAGTTTAAAGTATAGAGGTTTATTTTGTTTTTTATTTTTTATTATGTTTTTTTTCTTTTCTTATATAGGTGTGTGTAAGTATGCACATCCGTATATATATGTGTGTAGAAGTAAGTGTGTGTTTGTGTGTGTGTGTGTGTGTGTGTGTGTGTGTGTGTGTGTGTGTGTGTGTGTGTGTGTGTGTGTGTGTGTGTGTGTGTGTGTGTGTGTGTGTGCTTGTACGTGTGTGTGTGTTTGCGCGTGCGTTCATGTACACATTACGTCAGAGACATTGTCACTGACACGCGCGCATATGGATTACACAAGCACACACAGTTTTTATTTATTCAATACTTATCTGCTATAAATCGAGTAACCATCGTAATCACACCCGACCTTTAGACAGACCATTCCACTTTGAACTCTTACCCGACGCGGATTCTAATTCTGATTCATTTCTGTGGTGATCGTTAAAATAAATGCGTTTGGCGAAGTTTAACAGAGGGTAGTTTTAGTTAATGCTAAGATTTGGAAGGTTTAAAAGTATCATGAATGTTTATGTATAACCGGTTTTCTATCATTATTCAGACAAGAGCGAAATGTAGTGGGAATGCATGTATATTAGGACATAAAGCAGAAAAGGTGCTATGGTTGCTAAGAAATATTTGCATCTAAGAAGACAA